TACCCCCAAATACTTTGATCTTTCCTCTTAATAATAACAAACATTTAGACAATACAATTTTGTTTTTATCAAGTTTGGCATCTTTTTCATCATGTTATACTCTTTTTTTTAGCGATCTCATGGAGGTGCCTAGGTTATAGTTGTTCCAATGAGAGAAAAATGAAAAGTGTATATTTTAAAAAGAAGATAAACTGCAATTACTCCTTTTTTAAATCCCCTCCCCCTCCATGATACTTGCATCCCATGTTGGGAATCACAGATCTAGTATAAAGGGGACACTGAAATTCTCGTATTTAAATTCACTAGCAAAGCATCCTAAAAAGCCAAAAGATAATGGAGAAGGAAAATTCTGATTTGCTACAGATTTGGGATCTTACATCACAACAGGTGAAAAAAAATTGGGGCCCCTGGGCTGTAGTCCATACTTGCCCACATGTAAATCCGGTTGTTGACCATATATAAAAATTTACTATCAAAATGAATCATAAATGATTTTATTATAAAATGATATTACAGATGAGAAAGAAAATAATTATCAAGAGCTAAGTATTAATACAAATGCTAATGACAGGACAGTGCTAACATCAGAAAATCATGAAATATTCAAGTAATTTTGCAATTGCATTTGTTATATTTTCTGCATGCATAATCAGATGTTTTTTATTTTAAAATTAACTCTGTTGTTTCATATAAGAAAAATTCTGCTATCTAAATCATTAAAGTAAAACTATCCAAAGAAGTGGAGGAAAAAAGAAAAGAAAAATACAATTTATTAGAAATCTGATCTTTCCTACTCACTAATGATGTATTCCTTGTATGAGGCTGGGTGATTGAGAAATAAAAACACCATCGGACTTTACATATTTATTTAGATAAGTAAATATATATTTGCAACGCTGGTGTATCATCCCTAGTTAGTGGTTACCAACAATGTACCCCTGTCATCAGCCCTAGACAGTGGTAACCAATTATGTCACCCAGGTGTTGGTCCTCAAGTTTCTTCAGATCACCACAGCTACCACCTAGCCAACTCTTCACTCATTAACACATCTCTTGTTTTGTCACTGGTATCGTGTTGGTGGCATGGTTTCACTTGACTTAGCTGGCGTTTGTTCACAACCGTTCACTCCTCTGCCATGTTATATTTTTGATCTCAGAGGGTCAGATGATCATTGATGAAACCAAAATGAAGTGAAGACAGTTTGACAATTTGGAGCCGCACAAGAAAAACAAGAATCCTTTGGAATAAAGAATTAACTCTGGTTAAAAATGTAATGACGATTTGATTTATAAAGGATTTATTGTATACAGCGGTTTTAACCCTTTCCACTTGATATAATCTAGTGACACTGGGATCCCCTTCAGAGTATGCGGTTTGTTTTAGTAGGAACTTAAATTTCTAAGTTCTGGTCTTCATGTCTAGCACAAGGTCTTTGGTCAGGTGGTCTCAACAACCAATGCAGATTATGGTGTGTCTCTCTGTTCTTCTCCAGTCTCAACTTTACTTAACTGCACTGTTTCTTAGTCTAAAATCTCCAGCAGGGGTGGGATTGACTAGGGTCTGGCTTCAGTTGTCTTCTACCCTAAATATCAATCATTTCTAAATTTCCATATATAAAAATACATTTACTGAATTGTTTTTCCATATTTGGAGCTGTCCAGCCCCCTTTTGAGGGTGGTTAGAGGAATCAAGCCTTACCTTCACTCTTACTCTCTTTACACCTTGCCTCGTACCATCACTTCTATATAGGCAGTGCTAATCTCTCTCTTCTCACACTTCCTCATTGGCTAACCTCAGCCCACTTCCAGATGGCACAGTGAAAACAAAAGGGATTTTCAGTTATTAATCTTTCTTTATCAGTTTGTTCCATGCTGTGATTTTTCCATGACCAGACCACTCAAGAATTAGGAAAGGAAATAAAATTATTTCTAATCTTTTTAAAAACAAAGGTTTCACTTTCCTTTCTTTATGCATTTGTTTTACGATCAACTAGATCATACAGCCTTCCTGCTCATGGCCATTTCAAAATAGTAATTAATTTTCCTTACCACTTGAATTAATGCTTCAAAAATTATCTTTTCTTCTGGGTGGTTGATTCGAAACACATGTTTTTATTTTATCTGATCCAGGGGAATGTGAATGCTATTTTGCTGACCACCCAGATTTCTCTATTGTCAACATGTGTTTTTATTTTATCTGACATCTTCACAGATACCTTAATGGTCTCTTTCTGTGGGATATGGGAAAAGATGGCAGTCTTGGGTTTGTTCAATCTTACTGAATTTTGTCTAGTTAAATCTGGGTTCGATTCTCCTTGGAAGTATCTCAAAACATGATTTTAAACATATTTCATTATATAATTATCTTCTCAATTTTCCAATCCATCTTCCTGCAATTTCAATAATTATCGTCCAGTTAGTAGACTCTCTCTTTTTCCTTCTTTCTTTCTCTCTTTATTTGATCATCCTCCAGAGATCTCAGTGTAATATATTGGAGAAATGTTTTATAAATTATTCTGCTATCAACTTGCACCACAAATGAGGTGAGTATCAAGGTTGATACCATCCTGGGGACGAGAGAAGAATACTTAAGGATGCCTGGGTAGATTTTTGGGATAATGCCAGGAAACTATAATTTTGTATATATATTGGTTTTCCAGTTCCTTCTATAATCTACTTCAACTCTATACTTCTAATGTCTCTGCTTGAATTCTGAAAGTTTATTCACTAATTATTTATTTATTTTTTTTTTTACTCCTCAAAAGGAGTAGTTAGGTTCACCTATTGTCAGGTTCACACTCCTCCCCAATCTTTTGTGCAGGAGCAGTGTCTTATCCTTTGTTCCCTGTTTAGAATTGGGTTTACAGTTCCTTACAAAGTGTTTTAATTCTCTCCCAATATCTCCTTGCATTGCATCTTAATGGCATCATTGCCTTGCTTGGGGTGATCTGATATATATATATATATATATATATATATATATATATATATCTCTTCAAGAATTTTTTAGTTTTTGTTTATTCTTTTCATGTTTAAACTCATACATATGAGACGCTGGAAACAAAAATTGCACCGCAGCTCATGACGAAACACATTACCACACGGGAGTGAAAACGAGAAGTATTAAGTATGGGAAGCCGTTGGTATAAATCAATGGCTTTTGTTATCAATTATAGGCATTTAAAAATATTTGTGGAGATTTCATACTTTATTTTGTTCAGGTTAGGTTTCAACTGTTTAATGTATATAGCTTCATATAGGTAACTAAGTTATTGAGATGTCTATTTTTTTTAAAAAAAACTATTTAAGCCATTAATTAAAACCTAGATATTTTAAACTATCTACTATAAACATTTTAAAACATTTGTGCAGTATTCATAATTAATTTTTATTAAGAGTTGTTTTTTAATTTTTTAATATAGATAGCTTCAAGAAGTTTTAGTTTATGCTTATTATTTTCATGAAAATGTATAAATGCATTTTTAACAAGAATTTTTTCCAAATTGTGAATGTAGACAGACATGTTCTTGTAAATGTTGAGAGATGTTATGTTAGATTCATCAATCAAATGAAAGCTACTCTTTCTTGAAAATGTAGTTGTGGTATATATATATATATATATATATATATATATATATATATATATATATATATATATATATATATTATTTAATTTTTTTCTGTTGAAGATACAATCTCCCCAAGGACATTTAAATTCATATATAATGTTGATTTTCTCCAACATGTTACTTTGTGGGGAGGAGTCATTATGAATGATTAAATTGGATATACTGAATTTAGTGGTGGATATATTAGACTTTTTTGATATTTTCGTCATGTATTTGATTGCAATATAAAAGATGAATATGCTTAGAATTATTTGAAAAAGTATATTCTATTTGCTTTATATTAAAATTTTAAAAAGTAAAAAAAAAAGCTATGATATATAAAACTTTATGACCATTTCTGTCTGCTAATCAAAAACAGAAAGAATACAAAAAATTCTGATATAAGTATTATTTTTATATTTTAAGTAGAATCGGAGATATTTGCATTTAAGATATTGTTTACATTGTCACAATAAAATATCATCACCTTTTGGGGCTGGGTGAAAAATGTTAATTTTAAAAATGTTACAAAATTCATCTAATTATTATATTTTAATAAGTCTTTTGGCATTTATGTAAAAGAGAATTTTTTTTCAATGCAGCCTCTCTTCAAAGTTCTAGAGAAAAAATATTTTGGCAAACATGAATAAATGTGCCTGCAATAAGCTATAATGTCAAAGAGGACAGTTTTTCCCATGACACATTCTTTTTCTTTTTTTTTCTAACTACCTACTCTTTGGCAATATTTATTGTTTTAAAAAGCAATGATTAGAATTGGAATAAAACCTAAACACATGATGAAAGTGAATTTATACATTTTCTTTGTTTTTGAGAATTTACAACCAAAATATTAGACTCTATTGTTTATTTAATAGAATAATTTTATATTTTCAACATTCTAAAATTAAATATGATTAGAGCTAATGCAATGCAATATTTATCATATATTTCTAAAGAAAATAAATGCAAAAACAATATTTTATTCATAGATTTAGAAACATTTATTAAATTTTTAAAATATGTTAAGCAACTATAATGAAATCCTTATTTACCATTTTATAAAGTTCAAATTGATTGTCAATTAACCAACTATTTCAATGGGAAAAACCATTATTTTAATACTCCTTTTTTTTTCTTTTCTTTTTTTTTGTACATCCATCCATCTTTGCCAAATTCTTTTTTGTGAAAATACACCCCTTTTTAATTTGACAATTTTTAATTGGGTATTGGGGTTTATTACATTGATATTTACACATTTTAAAGATAAGTCCTTGAAAAATACATACTGAAACTTATTTTGCACTAAATGTAGATTGCATTCTATTTGCAAGACAAACAAAATGGTCTTGTTGATAAGTTATAATTAAAAATGAAATTTTTTTCTTCTTCCAGATGATTGTGAGCGAAAAGAAACAGAGAAACCAATAAATACTTAGGATTTGAAGAAAATAATCTTTTCTTTCATTTTTTTCAAAGAAGCAAGTCAAGAACGCATTGAATATTTGGAAAGGTTTTTGATCTATCAAAATCATAATTGTGGAAGTCTGTTTTCTTGTTTAATCTGGAAATCTAGAAAAGATCTAACAAAGAAAAAATCAAACAAAAACCAACGCCAATATAAACCAATAGCATGGATGCAACCCGACCAATTTATAATCCAGCTGGAGGTCACACCATGAACTTTGACCTTTGTAGCAGCAGCCACAATAAAACTACAACCACAATAACCACAACACCTCTCCAACAGCAGCAACAACAACAACAGCAGCAGCAACAACAAAGAAATAATACTTTTCACCTGCATAATTCTAAGAGCCATCATCATCATAATAATCAACATCATAACAGTAACACTTCCACACCCACCTCCAGCATCACTGCCAATAGTGATACCACCTCCACTACTCCAACTACCATACTGAGCACTTCCACCACTACCACCACTCCCACCATTAATATTATCAATAATGCCACCCCCAACAGCAACAATATAAAGAAACCACCTCCAGTTTCTGGACTCACCTCTCCAACTCTACCCACTGGACTCTTACCAACCATTGCACTATCAACCATCGAAACGAGCAAAGCAAAAGACAAGCCGTATAAATGCGAGACATGCCGAAAGGCATTTTCTCGCCAGTCGAACCTGACACATCACGAGGACACACCTTCAGAGCGCAAACACTTTCACTGCACCTACTGCTGGAAGGCATTTCCTGTACGGGCCCGACTCCGTGATCATGAGAGATCACACACAGGGGAGAAGCCACACAAATGTCCACTATGTCCAAAGGCGTTCAGTCACCAGACAAACCTAAAAAATCACTTGCGAGTGCATTCAGGCGAGAGACCATTTGCTTGCTCCATGTGTGGCAAACGGTTTAGCCACCAGACAAACCTGCGTAACCACGAGCGAACCCACACAGGCATCAAGCCCTACGTATGTGGCCACTGCAACAAAGGTTTTGGGCACATTACTAACCTGAAGAATCATCGCCGTGTGCACACGGGGGAGAAGCCGTTTGTGTGTGGACACTGTGGGAAAGCATTTGGTCACCAGACAAACTTGAAAAACCATCAAAAGACACATACCAACCTGGAAAGTTCGAACCAACCCAGCGACTCAATACTCTCTGCCTCCAACACTGTGGAGGAGTTGCAGAGGTTATCAGCTGCAGCTGCTGGTGCCCTCTTGCAGTCGTCCAACACTGCTCTGCACACAGTCGAAGAGTTACAGCGGCTGTCGTCAAGCAATGTGCAACTGCTTGAAGATGCACAGAGGATGTTACAGTCTGTGACAGCTGCTACTAATGTCAGCTCCACAGCGGCACGCACAGTTGAAGAGCTACAGAAGCTGTCGTCTCTTACCTCAAACTCTCCCGAGCCATTGTCAGACAGTTTGCAGACGTCCCTGGGGTCCTCGGGGACAACACAGTCCGCAACAACCTCAACATCTCGGTTGCTGTGTGATCAACAGAGGCTGTCACCAGCGTCTCGGCGGTTAATCGAAGAGCAACATAGGCTGTCTCATTCATCAGCCCGGCGTTCAGTCCAAGAATTGCAAAGGCTTTCATCCGAGACGTCTTCGGCAGCCAACCGTGCTGTGGAGGAGTTACAGAGGTTGTCCTCACAGTCGGCAATACTCCGTATGCAACCGTTAAACAAAGGAAGAGATGCTGCTCGTCCAAATTAAAAACTGTGTCAAGGGAGAAGAGATTTCTTTTTTTTTTCTTTTCTCTTTGGGGTGGGATTTTCTCTTCATAAAAAAAAATGACCTTTTTTTTTTCTTTAATTTTTTTTAAAATTCTCTTTTCTCATTTTTTTTCGTATTATTCTTATACTCAGTTTAAAAGCAGACAATTGTTAATGACTTATGAAGGTTTTTCAGAACAAATGGTAAAACTCAAATAGGTGATTTTTAACAAGCAAAAATGTATTTATTTTAAAATTGTAAGTGGTTGGCTAAACTTATACTTTTTTTTTGTTTATTACGTATATATATATATATATATATATATATATATATATATGTCACATGTTTTAAGTTCTTATTAAAATTCATCAGTATTGATTTTTTTTTCTTTTGTTTGTTTTCTATGACTTGGAAACCTTAGAGCTGTCAAATGTTTTAAGACATTTGTAATATGACTTTTTTTACTATTAATTTTTGACTTCAAAAACATGAGTTCAGCAAGAGAAGACATTTTATTTTTAAAAAAAAAATTGTTTTTTATCTGTTATCTCTCGTCTGCAAAGATAACAGTTTCACAAGTTGTTACAAAAAAAAAATTATCTTGCTTTTTGTCTAAATTTCTGAGATGTTATCATTATTTACATGTGGTTATTATCCATCTTTGTTGTTGTTATCACATTTCGGATGTATTCTCTGGCCTTCATCAGGTACTTGTCAATCCTCGTAACCTTCTGGGGAATATTGAATTTAAACCCTTTATTTAACATTCTTATTTAGTGCTGCTCAGCTATTGCCTTCTCTGTTTCCACCAAGTCCAAGTACACAATGCCTGACCCAGGGATTGAACTCCCAATTACTATGTGAACAATACTTTAAGGCTATTGTCTCTGAAGCTCCCTAAGAAGGCCTGGGGGGGAACAATTGGTAAAATCTTGTGATAACAACAACAAAGATGGGGATAATAGTCATCTTGTAGATATTTGTTCCCTTGCTCTTGTGTGTTTATTTTCCACTATAATTATTAATTTTTAACAGGGTTGTTTGATTTAAATCAAACTGATTAAAATCAGTTTTACAAAAATCTTTATTTGGCACTCTGCCTCATTTATAAATATTCACTTCCCCTTTTTTTGTATATGGAATCCCCTCAAAATATAGTGTTCCATATATTAGTTCTATATATTTGAAATTGCAGTAGCCTGAGTCTCGGTTTCAGTCAAGATTGTTTTAGATGTTGCCATAGAAGGATATGACTAAACAACCAAGAAATCCAAATTAAACTTGCATTGGCAAGACTAACATATTGCTTGGTGAAAATAGTCACCTACAGAGTGCTAAATGTTAAAGCAAAATATTTAGAAATTAAACAATTTTTTTTTGTTTTCGTGTAATTTCCCGAAGGAAGAAAAGTGTTGAACTCCATCATTTTATGCAGTTAGTGCATTATGCACCACTGCTGTGGTCACCACTCCCTTCCATCTCACAACTGGAGTTCATGGTAGCATTTGCACAAAAATGTATGAAGTTAACCCATCCCTCCTCTTAGAAGTTAAAGAGACAGGACCTATAAGACAGTAGGTGGTTTGAATTTAGTTTTCCTTCTATTAGACTGGTTACCAACCAAGGCTATAGGGCTCAGACTATACTACTATTTACCCATAGCTAGGGGGAAGAGGTGGATTCATACCTTTCCCAAAGTATTAGCATGTAAGTGTAAGTAAATGCAATGTTCTCAAATGGAATTTGAACTCTCTTTGAAAATATATATCTGCTAAAAATAATGTTTTAAGTAATAAAATATATATATATATATATATATATATATATATATATATATATATATATATATATATAATGCAGGAGAATTGTTAAAATATACTAATATATCATTTATTCAGTGCATTTGGCACCTCTGTGGTCACTATTCCTCACCATCTTACAATTATGGTTCATAGTGACATTCCAGGCAAAATAGTGCAATACCTTGCTAGTTCCTTTTGCACCAGGAATGTTGATGTTACCCTGTCCTTCCTCTCAGAAATGGATAATGTTTTTGAAGTTACCTTCTTCTAGTCTTTGCATAAAGAAGTAGGACCTACAAGGCAGCAGATGGTTTGAACATTAAATCGAATATTAATCAACTGAATAATTTTGTTGTTTTTTTTTTGGGGGTTTTTTGCACTATAAAATAAGATTTTAACCATTTAACAAATTTTGAAATTCAACATGAGCCGTCTTTGATTTCATAAATTTAAATAGAAAGACCAGTTTTACTGCTTTAGCTGTACCTAGACAGTTTCTCAGTTTGGAATGCACTGGTCCATTGGACGAGAAAACTCATTCCTTGCCAGATGAGGCCACTGCTGCCAGGATTTGCTTAATCACAGGAAGTATAAACTTTCAACTTTCAAAGTAAAAAAAAAAAACAAAAAACAGAGAGGAATTGAAAAACCTCGATCTCCGTTTTAAAAAAAACAACACTGGCTGACAGATCACCAATCGCTATAGCTGATGATCACCATATCAATCTGTTATTTTAAAATACTGTAAGAATAAAATAGTTGTATGAACTTATCTAAAAACCAAAACTGCAAGTTGAATGTAGATTCACCAAAAAACCTGAAAAATTGGTGAAAATTAAATGTCGATTTTTATTGACTAATTTGGGGAAAAGTCAGCCTGATGTAACAATTGTTAGTAATTTGGCAACCCTACATTATCCTATTATCGTGTGTGTTTGTTTGTTGTGTGGTTTTTTTTTGTTTTTTTTTTAGCATTTCACCCCAAGCAAGGCAGGAAGCCACTAGGAGGCAAGGGGTTACAGAAGATTTGGAGCAAGATCAGATAGGAGTGATAGAGGAAAGGAGAAGGATAGTAGGTAGATATCAAGGCAACTGGAGATGTCAATGGACATTACACTTGAATAGTTGGAGATTATAGCTCTCAGGGAAACTGGAATAGGGAAGGGAGTTCCACAGGCGAGAGGTGCGAGACATGAAGCTATTAGAGTAGAAGAGATGGTTACATTTAGCAGTTTCGACAGTGAAAGAGTGAGAGCGGGATGCCAGCTTCGTAGGGCACTTGAATTCATGAAGTCTGGGAACCAGCGAGTGCAGCTCCTCGGAGCAATTACCATGAAAGTATTTGTAAAAAAAGACAGAGAGAGGTGACGGCGCGTCTGTGAGAGAGCGACTGTAGACGAGATGCCAGAACAGGGCCAATTATATTGCATATCCACCCCTGGAGCTTATCAAGAACCCTGAAGCAAACAGAAGGGGCTTCAGACCATATATGGCAGCAATACTCAATACAAAGGCGAATTGCTGATTTGTAGATCTGAAGGATCGATTCCAGAGAGAAAAATTTCCTGGCGCAGCACAGGGAGCCAACTTTCCTTGCGGTGGACGAAGCAATTGACTCAATGTATTTGTTCCATCTCAGGTCAGCAGTCAACATGAGACCGAGCAGCCGCAGAGAGGTGCTCTTGAGAAGTTGAGCATCAGACATTCTAATGGAGGGCAGGGAAGGATCTCTGTGGTGATTAATAGAGAGCAGTTTTGTTTTTGAGGCATTAAAGTTGACCAGCCAATTCCTACCCCAGTTCACAACCGATTGGAGGTCCTTTTCGAGACGCGCGGCCAGGTTAGTTTTGTCAGCGACACTAGATTTGTTTTTGCAGCAGGAGTAAATTGTAGTGTCGTCCGCGTAGATGCCAACTTGGGAATCTATGGTGTCAGGAAGGTCATTTATGTAGATAAGGAATAGAGTGGGGCCTAGGATGGAGCCTTGGGGAACACCTGCATTTGTGGGATATGAACTGGAGGAGAATCTGTTGAGAATGACCTTCAATTCACGGATTGACAGGAATGATTGTATTAGGTCAATCAACCCGTAATGCCATAACCCTGGAGCTTGTGAAGAAGGCCGGCATGCCAAAGCCTATCAAACGCTTTGGAGATGTCTAGGGCCACAGCACTTTTTGAATAGCTTGGTAGACAGTTTCAGTGTTGGCCGTAAGCACATCAGCTGTAGATCTAGCAAAGTGGAAGCCATATTGCTTGTCTGAGAGCAGATCATGGGATGTAAGGTGGTTAACCATTTTGGTATTGATTAGGGCTTTGAAGACTTTGCCAAAGAGGGGTAAGAGATTGATAGGACAGTAATTAGAAGGGTAAGAGGGGTCGCCAGAGTTCTTGAAGACAGGAACAATCGAAGAGGACTTCCAGCAGTCAGGAAAACAAGATTCCTTGAGGCAGTAGTTATATAGTTTAGAGAGGGCGGGCGCCAGTTCATGTGTGCATTTCTTCAAGACAATGGCTGGTATCCCATCCCCACCACTAGCCTTGTTGGGGTCTAAATTGAAGATAAAGCCCAGTACCAAAGACGGGGTTGTGTGTAACCCACTCAACAGGGCCTCAGTTCTAAGAGGGAGGTTGGATATGGGTACACCGGATGAGTGGAGCGTTGAGTTGAATGAAAATTTCCAAGCAAAGCATTCAGCCTTGTCAACAGAGGAGGTCAGGACTTTCAAACTGGTGGAACAAAGGAGGTATAGAGGGTTTGCAATTGTTCAATACGCTCTTGGAGAGACGCCAATAATCTTTGGAGCCAAATTTGCAAGATGCAATACGCTCATTCATCCAAGCAGAAAATAGTGACTTAGCATCGTTGAGGACACGCTTGCACTCATTACGGGCAGAGGCAAAGAGACGTCTATTGCAGTCTGACATGTCGCTACGAAATAGGTGAAAGAAGTGGTTCCTATGGACAATGGCAGATGAGCAAACAGCAGAGAACCAAGGGGAGGAGCGCGACTTGACCCTATATTTCCTTGAGGGGATGAAAGCATCGATTCCAGCTTTAACCCAGGATGAGACCTCAGAAGCACATTCTTGAACAGGGAGCGTAAAGACAACATCACGGAGGAAATCACGGAATGAGTCCCAGTGAGCTCGTTGATAGTAGAACGAAGTTCTAGTGGTAGGAGGTTTTTTGTAGGTAGTGGAGTTGAAGGAGATGTTAACAGATACTACAGCATGATCGGAGTTACCAAGAGGGCAGAGTTGCGTGGCGCTACAAGACTCGAGGATGGAGGTAAAACACAGATCGAGAAGAGAGGCCTTACCTTCCTGGTTGAAGGCAAAACGAATGGGGAAGTTAACTATCTGTGTGAGGGATTGAGAAACTGAAAAATAAAGTGTTTGAGTGCCCGCGTGGTCAGTAGTAGCATCTTTAAGCCACTTGGTATGATGGGCGTTAAAGTCGCCAAACACAAATATGTGAGCAAATGAGTGGAGGGAGAGAGCCTTGTCTATGCTGTCAGAAATGCTATCGAGTATCGCACAGTCTTGAGAGGATGGAGAGCAGTAAAGGAAGAAGAGATAGCTTACCGCATTGAGAAGAGATAGACGGAGACACATGTACGACTGGTCTGGCGATTCGAGAGACAACTCTCTGGCCAGAGGGAGATGGTCCTTGACGTAGACACCAAGGCCGTGCATGTGGGTTAGAGAGTCTTTTTCTGAGGAGAGGAAGGTAGCCTGGGATCGAGATATCAGAGGAGGGGATAGACAAGACAAGGTTGGTCTCACAGAGAGCCAGTATATCCAGGAAGTTTGCAGTGAGGAAAGATTCCATACTGCAGAAGTTTGTTCTAATGCCATGGATGTTGGAGAATGAAATGTTGAGTGGTTTAGGTGATTTTTGAGGGGCTGGTTTAGGATTACTTTTTCGGTCTTAATCTCGCAAACTATTTGTATCGGCTTTGCTCTTTTGCAATCTTTATATGCAAAAATGGAAAAAATTTGGTTTAAATAGTAGTAGATAGGTTTGCTTATTGTCCAGTTCACACTCCTCCTCAGTCTTTTGAACAGGAATAGTGGTTTATCCCTTGTTTAGGATTGGATTTCCAGTTTCTTCTAAAGTCTACTTCTACATTATACTAACGTCTCCGACTTAAATCTGAAATGTTATTTACTAATTAAATCTTGACCTCTTCAAGTCTAGAGTTAGCTGTTATCTTTCCTGCAAAGCCCCAAGATCTTCTTGCCCTTTCATACGCTCATTCAGCACCACATGGTAAACCTCTACCTTGAGTGGCTCTTGGGCCTTGTATTGGGTGAACATTGGTGGTGGGGAAAAACAAATCAGAAAACCTAGGTTTTAATATGTTCAACGTCTTTTTACTTCCATTTTTTTTTTTTACGGTATGTTTCCTGCTCCCTCTTTGAATCAGCTTTGCTGAACAAATTCAGTTGCGGAGAAAAAGAATTTCAAGCTATGAAATTAACTTATCTTTTGTATCAGTATTTTTTTGTTTTTGTTTTTTTTTTCCTGATTGATTAGTCAGTTAAATATTTTGGTTTGTGGCCCCAGAAGAAACGTTCATCAAGTTTTGCTGTCCTCAATTTTTCTTTCTTAATTAAGAATATATCCTTTTTTTTTTTTTTTATATATATATTCACTCCAAGCAAAACATAGCCACTAAGCCACAAGCAGGTTGCTGAGTTTTAAAGGGTAAGAAAAAAGAACAATACTATTAAGGTGAGAGATCACTAAAAGAATAAGAATTAATAAGACAGTAGATAATGATTGACATTGCATTTAAATTTTTGAAGATCAAAGTTGACAGGGAAGCAAGGAGCCGGAAGAGAGTTCCACAAGCAAGACATGTGAGAGAAGAAACTGTTAGCATAGAACTTTGATTTCAACTGTAAACAGATACGACATTGCCACCGATCTAGTAAATTTATAATGTCTAGGTACAATAGAGAAAAGTTCATCAGAACATTTACCATGAAAATATTTATAGAAAAGGCATACAGAAACTATGTTACACCAGTGGGAAGTGTTTGAATTTCAGAGATGAGGAATTATCTTCATTTACATTCAGACTAATATTACCATCATTGTTGTTATCACAACATTCAGGAATTCAAAGGAGGAAAAAGTCTTTGACCTACTCCAGAGATAGAATCCTGGAAGCACCAACCAGCTAAGTGACAAACTTTATTTTTGTATTAATTATAAAACAATCCCATATCCGATTATGTTTCAGTCTTCAGAAACTCCTGCAGCTCTTCTAGATGGTCTTCGTGATTAAGTTGGTGACTGCTGCCATAATCCTTGCCTTTAGTTCATCTTTGGTGTTACAAGGAGTTGATCTCTTGCTCAACTGCACCCCATAATAATCAAGGCAATTAAAGTTTGGTGAGTTAGGTGGCCAGATGTAAGAGGTTATGTGATTGTAGAAATTGACATCCACGACTGTATTCTCCTGCTTGTGTGGCATGGTGCAGACTCCTGTTGCTAGACATAAGGTCTTCCAACAGCCACCCTCTTGATCCAGAGCACCACTACCACCTCAAGGCACTTGATGGAGGCCTCTGTATTGAGTCTTAGTCTCTGTGGGAAGATGAATGGAGTCATAATGTCACCATCACTAGTGAGCATTCCAAACACCTTCGTAATCACCATTAGACTCATCCAACTATTTTCAAATCATCTGCACTGTTCTCAGATTAACACCCAAATACTCAGAAATGTTTGTATTGGAGCTTCTAGTAGTACAGCATGCCATTTCCAAATTTCTGGTGGAGTGAATTGTGTCATGGCGCCTTTTTTCTCACAGACAGTAGCCCAAGTACTATACTGTGCTGTTGACGAAATCAAAAACAACATGCATGCGCAAAATTAAAAATGTAAAATTGCAGTAATTTAACCACTACACCCTGTACAATCTTAACAAAGTTTTGAAGAATTATGACAAATAGAAAATGATTCACTGAAACTAGATGTGATTATGTGTTTCACCTTTCTAGACTTTATCAGATCAAAAAACCAAAGAAAGAAATATGTACACTATTTACATTATTCGGACTATTGTCCTCATCTTTGTCGCCATATTTATTACAACATTTTGGCTGTTGTACGCTCCGGCCTCCTTCAGGTGGTTGGAATGTCGAACTGAACCCTTTATTTCCTCAAGGAAACATGGCACAGTGGATAAAGGCGTTAAGTAGATCCAGTGACAGGACCCAAAGTGTGTGAGTTCAATACCCGGTTAAGGCAGTGGAGAACTTGGAGAGGGGAATTAACAGGAGATAACTGACATCCATTAAAACATGGCACATGGAACTATAACAATCTACCCCAGTGAGCGAAATAAAGGGTTCAGTTCGACATTCCAACCACCTGAAGAAGGCCATAGCATACAACGGCCAAAATGTTGTAATAAATATGGCGACAAAGTTGAGAACAATAGTCCAAATAATGTAAATATTGTACATAATGCCTCATCTCAGAAATATAGACAGATACTGAAAGAAATATGTGTGTGTATATTATTTAAGCATACACACTTTCATTTTTTTTTATCTGAAGCTATAGTGGCACGAGGATCAGGGCTAAAACGAACAGCTGATTCATCCACACCAAATAATTAGTGAAGGATGATAATGACGAGTACACATGAGTAATTTTAACAAAACAAGACAAACATTTTATTCATAATTTTGCATGCTTGAAGTAGTGACTAGCTTGTTTCAGGAAAATAAATTAAAATTCTTAACCCTAAAACACTAACCATGGGTATATAGTACCCAGCACAAATTTTCCTATTTTTAATTACAATTTTCAGTACCTGATTTTCTTATGTAAATAATATGTTTTTCATTTCCTATTAACGTTAACTCAAAGTACAAAGTTTGAAGTGCCCGCATGTAAAATATTTCAAATAAGGATTTATATTTAATATTTTTATTGATATTTTCAAAATCGGGTATGATGTACCCAAGGTTAGTAGTGGTGTAAATTTAATTAATGGTTAGTGTTTTAGGGTTAAAATCCATGGTTTTAACATCATGAAGAGGAAATGTTCATACAACATATTAAATGATCTGACACAAAATAATATTCAAAAATGTATAAAACAAAGCTAAGAGAGTTCATTGCTCACCAAAGGCATATATAGTTTGCATCCATTGAAAAGTAGATGAAGAGAGATAGTTTAAAATACTTAGCTTTCTTGGATTGTTGTGAGTAAATTCTTTGAAGTGCTACATGCTGGTTATAGGCTGATAATTGTTGAGTAATTTTACACTGGTGAGTACTTCAATGCCGATCGCGAGGAACTGAAACGAAACCTTTCATATGACTTCAGACACTCTTATGATTAATGAAATTTTTCTCCTCATTTTATAAAGAATTTTGAATAGGCTAACTACTTTCTTTCCTCCTTCTTCTTGGTTCACTGGCTAGTTTCTATGAAGGCAAGGTTTTCATTGGTCCCAAAACAATTTCATATGGGTTTGTGAATTTCTTTCTTCCTCCTTCTTGGCTCACTGGTTAACGTCTGAAAAAGGCAAAAAAAATCTCATACAGGATTGTGAATTTCTTTCCTTCTTCCTCGTTCCCCCAATTTTTGAAGGTAGTTGTTGAAGGGAGTTTCAATGAAACTATTTTCCATTTGTCATTATTCTTTAAAAATATATTCTCTCCTATTTGCCTTCTACTGTGTTTTTAAAGCGTTGCACATTTATACACCCTTGTCCTTGAGAGGTTCTGAAGAGTGAAGATCGAAGCCAGTTAGCTCCCTTTTGTTATATACTTGTTTTTTTTTTTCTCTCCTTTTGCTTCCCCTGTTTCGAGTGACTTTCATTTATTATCCTTGTCCACACCTTCCACTGATTGTTTGCACCATGCCACACAAACAGGAGAACACAGTCGTGGATGTCAATTTCTACAACCACATAACCCCTTACATCTGGCCACCTAACTCACCAAACTGCAACCGCCTTGATTGTTTATAAGTTTGTCTTTGAATATGTATTACAAATTTTAACATGTTCATGTTTCTAGGAATAATAGTAGTAACAACTAGTTTTAACCCATGAAAATTTCACGTTTTTCTTATTTTAAATTTCTGATGAATCTTAACACATAAGTTAATGGTTGAATATGCTCATGGTGTGTTCTACAACAATAGAATATCCACAGAAATTCCTCTGTCAAATCATTAAACATTTGAGCTTAACAACATTAACAAAATATTGCAATAACAATCATGTAAATGCTGGTTATTATTTTAAGAAGTGGGTACAAATGAAAAGATTTGAAATTGACAACTTTTTTACATTTCACTGAAACAGACATTAAACACTTCTATCTACCCTTTCTTTCTTTCTTTCTTTCTTTTTCTCACTGAAACCAAGTAACATCTCTGATATGGCTTTTGTCTTCTCAAACAACCAAAAGGCAATAGTCCATTATACAGTGTGTTGTGGCAGTATGCTCATTGTGTTTTTAGGTGGAAAACACATGTCTCCTCAAATGTTTATCCCACAACAAAAATAGCGGACATGCATGTGTGTCCGGGTAATAAAATACAAAGGAACAACTAAGACCAATATACACCCTTGTGCAAATTAATTGAAACAACCGCTTTAGTTTCCTTTCTTTCATCATATGGTCAGTTTTAGACCCACTGGAGTGACAGGGTGTAATCGATTTCTATTTTTTCCTTAGATTAGGTCATTTGCAGTGGTGTGCAGTAATATGAATCTATTTTCAAGGTGTATGATGAAAAATCTTGTGTCATTCATGATTGCATCAAATTTTCATCATGCCCGGACATTATTGTCTCGACTGTCAATTAGTTGTCCTACAGTCATTGTCTGTGATAAATGTTACTCTAAGGAAGCGTACAAAAATTTAACGCTGCACGAACACAATGGCAAGCTTTACCAGTGAACAAATCAAAGTATTATCAACTGGCTTGGAAACTTTCCTGAGTTTGACCACAGATTCTCCAGTGGATTTATCTGCAAAGAAAGACTTATGAAGTACTAACATGTACACTGTATCATGTTTCATTGGAAGAATATGAAAAAAAAGTAAATAACAATGGAATTATTCATTTTGTTTCAATTAATTTGTCCAAGGGTGTATATACCAATAAACGATAATGTATTATTATCAAAACAAGATACATTGTTGCGAGTGACAAAGACAATGATATTGTATCTATTTGACAAAACAATGAACGTGTATGAAAACATTTAAAGACTAGTGAATTGTTTTTGTATGTAAAATATGTGTAGAAGTCTTAGAGAAAATGTGTGTGTGTGTGTGTTTCCCAATAGACCAACATCCTAGCATGTCTAAAGAAGGAAAAAAAGCTGGCATGCTATTCTCTACATTCAGTCTT